ATCTCTGATAGAGAAGATGAAATATCTAGTTCAGACAATGAGTCAATAACTATTGAAAGCGAAATTATTGATATAACCCATTCGGATAATGAGTCAATAATTATTGAAGGTGAAATTATTGACATAACCCATTCGAATAATGAGTCCCTCATAGTGGTAGATTCATCCCAAGATGAGAAAGAAAATACAAGTGACACAGACAATGAGTCAGTGATATTTTTAGATGAGACTAAAATCATCTCTGAACAATTAGATTCCCAACAAGAAGTGGAACCACAATATATAGAGTTAGAAGATGGAATAACTATCAGAGTGGAACAACAACACAAAATTTTCAACCATTCAACTATAGCCAACACAGGAAGAGCTAACATGAAACAGATGTTGTGGCTTCCACTAGTGATGACTGTAATGGTGATCTGTGGCTGCATCCACTCAATAACAGTCCCAAAACCATCCTACCAAGGTGCACATGTTACAAGTGCAAACATTACCTTAACATTTAAACCACCGTTATACTTTTGTTCTAACCAACTACCAAGCCAGGCATTTGATCTAGCAGATGAGCCAACTTGTAATATAGAATCACAAGAAACCAAGACAATTACAGCTGATATCTATGAATTGAACTTGGAAGAAATTGAAACAAGAGCAGTAAAATGTCAAGTGTATCTAAGAACTAATTTTTACACTTACTATTTCTTTGGAGCAAAGAAGAGGAGAATTGTTAACTCAGTTATCAAAGTAACTCATGATCAATGCAGACAGATGGTAAAAGACAAACGATCTTTTCAAGGAAAACCTTTAATGGTGAAAAGAAACACTTGGATCCACCAAGATCAGTTTCCTGCTGCCTACACATGGCCAACAACTACCAAGGTGCTGGAATACACCACAATTATCCAGTTTGGCAAAGCATATTGGCAACCTCCTAATATGAAAATTACAACTAATCTGGACTACCTGGAAGATTGTTTACCAGGGCAGTCCTATTGTGAGACAGAAGAGGCAATTATTGTCTTTAGAAACCTCAAGAATAATTACACACTTGGGCAACAATCACCATGGATAAAAATTAGCAACAGAATTAGTTGTATCAAATTTGCTGGTCACTATTCTTGTCCAGGGTATTCTATTCTGGACATCCCTTATCAAGATAAGTTATTGATGGAATTGGTGGTCCTGGAACAAAAGTACTAGTACCACTGGAGGAACAGAGTTTAATACAGGAAACAAGCAAGGAACACCTATACAATTTGCTACAATATCAGAAGATTGGCAAAATGAAGAAAAACGACTATTAAACTATCCCAATAAAGTTAAAGAACAAATTATACTATACAAGCGAAACAACCCCTTACCAAGTCTTAACCAATGGTACAGAGAAACAAACACAAAGTATAAACTAATGAGAAATAAAGGCACACTCAAGGAAGTTGTGATATATCATCTACAACAACCCATTAGTCCATCTTACTGGGAGCTGGATAACTATTATATCCAAGAAATGCTGCAAGCAGTCAATTGGACAAGGGCAACAAGACAATCTGTGACGATTTCAAAATATGTATACAGTGAGAAAAGAATCAAAAAGAAGGTATTACCAACATTGGGCATATGGTATAAAGGACCACCAGCCAGAGAATTTAAGATTACCTATGAAGGAATTTATTTTACTCTACACATGAGAATGGCTAAAAAGCAGATGAAGAAGGAAGCAAAACTGAAACATAAGATAAGTAAAAACCCATACCACAAATTCCCATTGGAAATGAGAGAAGCTGCCCAAACATCTACCTTACTACATGGTATTGATTCAAATTTTAAGAATTTAAAAAAGTTTACCCAACAGCTGTCAAGTCTTCTCTGCAATCAATTTGTTCAAAGAAGCAGAATGATGGCATTACTAGCAAATTTGGATCCTCAATTGACCACAGTGTTAACAAATGAGTTGGGAATGCACAGTAGTCAGATGGGAGAATTAGCTATAATTAAACAATGTTCACCAATAGCCTCAACAGAAGTAGTTTGTGACTTAAGCATGATAAAAAAGAATAACAAATGTTCTCAATTTTTACTTGTCACCATGAACAACCTGCTTTTCCAAGTAGAACCAGTTACTCATGTTTTACAGCAAGTCAATCCTGAAGAGATTACCTATAATGAGTGTAAGTCTAACAAGTTATTCTACAAAACAACTCACAACCCATTAAATCCTATAAGAAACCAACCAATGAAAGACAAAACGTATGTGTATTATTCAGAAAGAGGATGCAGATTTCACACTGTGTCTGCAAAATCCATGCAGTTACATATCCACAATCACCTTTCTGAACCAAAAATTGAAATTGCCAGATTAGCTGATCTACTCCACCATGGGGTAAAGAAGGATATTGCATACCAGCACTCAAAAATTAAGCAAGTTATCAGTTCACTGGAACAGAAGCAGGCAAGGTATGATAACATGGTCACTGTTGCAGAGAAAAATGGCATTGTACCCAATTTATCTGGAATTAAACAGTTTTTCCATAGTTGGTACTATAAACCTGGGAAAACACTTTATGTTATCATACGAAATATTTGTTTGAGTATTGTAGTGTCAATGGTATGTATCATCATTTTCAACTATATTATTGGAAGAAGAAAACAAAGAGAAGAAATTGCTACCCCAAGTGAGAGCACAGATAACTCTCCTGAAAACCCAAAACTAATGAAACAAAGTTGTAGCTTTAGTCAACATCAAACTAATGAAGAAGAACAACCACCTGTAATTCTCATTAAATCAAGATGAAGGGACTCATCTTCACAAAGAAGGGGGAAGTTGTACAACTTTGGTTATATTTTACATGCTTGAACTCTATTATTTTATGCAACATATACATGTACATCTTAAAACCTATGCAAGAAAATGCTAAAACATTGGCCAAACATAAGTCTGATTAGTCAGCTTGAAGGTTCATCTTTAATTACCAATAAAGGTTTGGCCAAGTTATAATTTAATTAACTTGCCTAGGGTGTGGCCAAGTTATAATTCAATTAACCTTCCTAAATGTTGAACCTTGTAACATCCTGTTACTAAAGATAAATATGAACTACACATTTTGGCAACTGTAAAGTGATGATTGGATGTCAGAGACAAACCTCAAAGTATATAAATCCTTATTATTCTCATTTGGCATGCAGCTTCCATCTGGACCCAAGGACCTGGGAAAATCATCTGGAAACAACCTCCACTGGAACCATCCATCTACTCCTCAACATTGGAAGACAGTTTGGTAATTTGGCAACCTGCTATTACAAACTATCTACTCTGCTATTGAACTCTCATATTGTTACTTGCTTAAGTATTATTATTGCGAATAAACCATTTTAATTTAAACATTTGTTTAAAGGTTCGAGTAGAACCAGTATTGTTATAACTTGCAAACGCATAGATTTTGCCAGCAAGAGCAGTACAGCATTACATAATCCTAAGCATTGATAAATGATAACTCTGCTTCAAATTCCCAGTTTCCAGCATATGCTATATATTCTTTCATTTATTTCACAGACATTACTTCCAATTGAAAATTCAATTAGACAACATCACTTCAATTATCAGTAATCATCTCTGAATCCTTCACTCAACAGCAGAAATTGATAAATATTAAAATGGTATGTACATTTTTTCAATAAACATTAGCATTAAAAGTAGCACTTTTATTACAATATATTTTGATTAAAACCTGAAGAAGAGAATTCCCTATTGGAAATCTTCAACCTCTCTGTAGGTGTAGGTTAATAGACCCTGATGAGTCCTTGGTATGGAAAATAGAGAGGAAGACAAAACTGTGGTATGTCGAATAGGTAGGAAAATTAAAAAAAAGACATTTTTTGAAAATTTTTTGAAAAGTTTTTTCTATTGGAAATTGCTCTAACAGTCGATTTTGGTGTATTTTTTCTTTGACTGCTTCCCAAAAGCAATTGGGACTCTTGAACTGTGAGAATTCTGTTTCTCCTTTTTGACAAAGTCAAAAAGAAACCTTTACTAACCCTAACCCCAAGACCTAACCTAACCTAACATAGAATTGAAGGAACATAGAATTGAATCTAGGTCTTCTTCTGTTACATTTTATGAAAAGTGACTTACCTGATTGTTATACCTACGATTTTTGAAAGGTTACCCTCTAATTACTATAGAACATAGGGTCAAGATACTGGTGATAGAGTCTAAGGCTGCCAGTCAGCCATCCTCACCTACCACCATTAACTTCAAAGCTCCATAGCTCTGCAACCGTTCAAATTTTGCACAGTTGCTCAGTTCAATTAGATCTAGCACTGTGTAAAATTTCATAACAATCGGACCAAGTTGAAATTTCAACTTTCGTCAGTGGTTGACTTGCTTTACTGACCACCAAGTAGGTGATTTGTAGCGAAAAAAGTGTGGGATTTAACCAGTACCTATCCTAAGGTATAGTAAGCCTCTCAGAGATCAGTCTGGTGGCAATCTAACCAGCCACTTTTCCCCTCTCACTTGATAAAGGAGGAATACCTCTGAAATATTGTGAGTTTTAATCTGGTGACATTGTTTTAGTTGCTAAATACAGGTACTCTTCACCCTTGTGGAGAATTTGTAACCCTGACAGAAAAAAATTGTAACTATGTTCATGTTTTTTATTGATTTTCTATTCTCAATTGCAGACAAATTTCAAAATCAATAAAAGTACAATACAGTACAATACTGTTTCAATACTACATATCTATTGTAGAATATAGCTGATGAATGTAAGTGTACAGCCTAAAATAATTAAATGGTATGTAATTATTTTATTTTGCAGTATTCAGTATAAGTAGCACTTTAACTTGGTGTTAATTAAACAAAAACCTAACAGTGATTTTTGATGTGTATGACAAAAAACCAAGTCTACTACAACAAGCCTTGTCTGAATATTGCTTGTAGGAATTTTTTCAGTATCTGGTAATACTTTCCTATTACAAATAAAAGGACCATTTGATTTTATAATGGATTCATGCCTTAATACTGATGAAAAATTGTGTCTTAATTACAATAAAACAGAAATTGAAAAATTACTTAATACTAAATCAGTCTTTGATAGAGTATGTATAAAATTAACAACTCTACAATTGTTATATCCTGATGACAAAGATATACTACAAAAGCAATATGATGGTGAGCAAAAAAGTTTGGCTGTTCAGTATATTTTAAACAAATTGTGGCAGCTAAATTTTGTAGATATTTGGGAAATTTTCTTTGATATCGAGGATTTGAACTGTCAAAGATTAGCTGAGTGTTTATCTGAAAAAAAGAAAATATGGGAAAAATTGATTTGTGATACTAAAATAGAACGAAAAAAAGAATTTACAACAATTCCATTACTTCCTTTCACAAAAACTGAAGTCAAAATATCTGATATTATAACATCTATTAAAATATCTGAGGTACAGAAAATTGATATAATTGATTGGGAATTACAGAAAACAGAATATGAATATGAACATTTCTATAGAATATTTTGTTCAGAATTCAAAAAAATTTTAATTCAAGGCAAGCCAGGAATAGGCAAAAGTGTACATGTCAAATATCTACTCCACAAATGGGCAAATGACCAATGGAAAATTGATTCTCAAAAACTATTGTTATTTATCATTTTAAGAGAGGTTAAAAAAGATTCAAATATCTATCAGGAAATAATTGAACAAAATTTCAAAAATATTCCATATATCACTGAAAATATAGTGGAATCTATTTTTGTTGAAAAGAGAAATGATGTTGTTCTTTTGATTGATGGGGCTGATGAGTTATATCAAACAAATCATCCTCTATATGATCTATTAGAAAGTCCAATATGTGATATTCCAACTGCAATATGGTCTCGTGAATGGAGAGCAAAAGAATTACTTTCAAAATGTGATATAATATTTGATTTAACAGGTTGGAATACAACTCAAATGAGATCATTTTTTCAAAAGTGCTTTAAGGATGGAGATATTCAAAAGAGTTTAGAATTTGTAGAAAGTCTAGTTCACAAAAATAAAAAAATTGAGAGTCTCTGCAAGGTCCCATTGTTGGCAATGATATTATTTCATGTTTGGAAGAAAAGAGGGGAATCTATCTTTGATAGAACTCTTTATCAAAATTATGAAGATATAATAAGTTTTCCACAAGAAAATCATAGTTGCATCACAAAAGAAAATGATAAAAACTTTCAAACATTTTATGAACTCTGCCTTGAAAATCTTTCACAAAGTAAGATTATTTTAGATGATAAAAATCTATCTAATTTTATTGAGATACATTATAAAAATATAATTGAAATTATTCATTTGCCAACAAACCAAGTTGAATTACAATTCTATCATTTATCTTTTCAAGAGTTTTTTGCTGCAAAATGTCTAATTGGAAAAGCTAAAGACATTTTAATCGGAAGGATAAATGATATATTTAATTGCTTTTTACCAAGAAGAAATAACATAAATAGTCTATTTGAAGAATTAACCCATATAAATCTTTTTAATGTCATGGAATTTGTACAACATCATTCCACAGATATCTTTAAGAAAATTCTTCTACATTCTGAAATTGTTAGAGATATGTTTAACTTTAGCAATAACCTCAAAAAACTTTTAGAAAATGGTTTTGAAAATGACAAAATGATGAAATTAGAGAATGAAACTTTGAATGATGCTATCATTAACATTATCTTTATTAAATATGGCAAAAATTTAGAGAATATCATTTTGATTAACACATCAGTAAATTTGAAATTATTGATTGATTGCTGTTTTGAACACTGTACAAGATTAAAGTTTTTGGAAGTGAAAGGTCAAAAATTATATAATAATAATGAAGCATTTAAAGAAGATCTTTTTTTGGAGAATCTATTAAATCTGAAATTTTTTAAAGAATTAGAGAAAATACAGATTGGAGAGAATTTTTTGGATGTTAAAGGAAATACTATTTCTGGCCAATTTTTTGATAATTTTTGTAAATTTATCATCATTTATTCTTCTAATTATATTATAGAATTTACTGATGAAGCATTCAATTCAAAAAACTACTTTACTGATGCAAAGATTAAACTTTTTGAAGGCTTATTTCAACTAAAAAAATTGGTTATTGCAAATAAAAACTTTGGAGAAACTGGTAGAAAAAGGTTTTTTTCAATGATAGAGAAAAAGCTACAGAACACACAATTTAAAGAGTTTGAAACATATAACTGTGAAATAAGCAATCTGGACTGTGAGTTTTTGGATAATTACCTTAAATTAATTACAAATCAATATTGTCAAACATCTTTTGGAGGAACAACACATGATGAACAATTTTCAAATGATTATATCTCTCTTAAAATAGATAGTAATAGTCTACTTAGGGGTCGGGTGTGAACGTACCTGGGTGCGAACGTACCCGGGTGCGAACGTACCCTGGGCGGGTGCGAACGTACCCTGGGCGGGTGCGAACGTACCCAGGTACGTTCGCACCCTATTTTTATATTTATTTTATTTTTGAATTTTTGAATAAACATGTACATTGACACCCTTTTTTCCTTCTGTTCCTTCATTATATATTTGTTAATATATTGATTAGATAGAATGCAGATATTAAATAGAATACATATCCCATCAATATTAAATTACTACTTTAAAAGAAAATGTTGTTGAAAGTGAAATAGCAGCCATTTTAATAGTGATAGTTTTATTAAATAAACTTTCACTTGGAATATTTATCCTTGCAAAAGTAAAGCTATATTTACTGAATAAATTTGGACAAAGTTCTTCTTGGAAGCTTCAACAGAAGTGAGTATTTATATCTAATCATTGAGATTGTTGATTCATGATATTTTGATGTAATATACTATATTCAATTGTGAAAAAGCTGAATATTTTTCATAAATAAAATTTCAGCCATTTTGAATATTTGGAAAGGAAATTTATTGATAACTGGAAATATTTTTAGATAACCATCTACATTTGATTGAAGATTAAAAAATGGCTTTCAAATGTCACAATTGTCATTCAACAATTTATGGAAGGCAAAAATATTTGAAATGCAGCCTTTGTAAGAATCTTATTCATAGGAAATGCACAGGTATGTAACTCTTTAATCAGCTTTCATGTAATTATATTTTTTAACATATTCTTATAGAAACACATAACATACCAATTTGCAAACCTTGTAACAAAAGAAAATGTACTGTCATGCTCAAGAAGTTAACTAATCTGGAAATTCATCAATTCAAAGTAAATTCTGAAGAAAGCTTTATTGATGAAAGAAATAAGATTGCTGCAGTTGAGGAATCAATATTGGAGGATGAAAATCATGTTCTTTCAGAATGCCAATCAATGGACCTAGACTCTTTGGAGGAAGTTGAAGAGAATGCTGAAGAATATTGTGAATCATCCACAAAAAGTGATTTTGAGATTGTAAAAGGAGGAAGTAGAAAGGGACATGACATTTTACTGAATGATGGATATTCTTTTGTTGTTAAACATAAAACACCATCAAGTACTATTTGGGTGTGCAGTGTGAGAAGTAAGAAGAAAAGATGTGTGGCCAGAATAAGACAAAATGGAAATTTATTTCTCAAAGGCAATTTGGAACATAATCACAACAGAAAAAAGAATTTAGAAGTGGATATTAAAGTGAAAACAGATTTGAAAATTGTTTGCAGAAGTGATAATCAAACATCTGGAAGAAGCATTGCTGAAAAAGTTCTTCTATCCTATGAACCCAATGCAACTTGTCTTCCTGATATCAACTATTTGAAGAGAATGGCAAACTCAAATAGACAAAAGTTTAGGCCAGTGGAACCTAAAGTGTACAACTTTAATTTAGATGAAACATTTTTGCCTGATGAATTTTTGCAGAAAGATATTTGTGAAAATGGAGAAAGAATTTTAATCTTTGCAACAAACCATCAGCTGAATTTATTATCAAAATCCAACTGTTGGTACATTGATGGTACTTTCAAGATTGTAAAAGAACCATTTTATCAACTTGTCACTATTCACTCATTTGTTAAGAAGAGTGGTGATATGAAGCAAGTTCCTCTTGTTTTTATTTTTCTGACTTCAAAGCATACCAAAGCATACTTACAAGCATTTCAAGTAAATATTTCATATTATCTCTTCAAAAGTGATGATAAATAAAGTTGCTTTTTTGTAGCATATCAACAATCTTATCAATGATTTTCATCCAAAAAGAATTACAATGGATTTTGAAAAAGGACTATGGAAAGCATTATCAAAAGTATATCCCCTCACTGAATTTCAAGGTTGTGTATTTCATTTCACACAAGCAGTATACAGGAAAATACAAGTCAGTTACATTCAAATATATATAACATTATCTATTAAATAACTTATATTATTGAATAGGCTCTTGGCTATGTAAAGAAATACAAAGAAAAAGGAAATGATTGGAAAGATTTCAGAAAATTGATGGCTCTGCCATTCTTGCCAGCACATATTATTCAACCAACATTTGACAGAATAAATGCAGAACTTTGTGAAAAAAATAGATTTTTGGACCTGCTGCAATACTTCCAAACAAACTGGATCAAAAATAAATTATGGAAACCAAATAACTGGTCAGTTTTTGGTTTGTCTATTAGGACCAATAATGATTGTGAAGGATGGCATCAAAGAATGAATAGTAAGCTGCCTGCTAAAGGTTCTTTTTACATGCTGGTTGATGAGCTAAAAAAGAGTCTGAGTTGATTGCAGTTTATGAGAAATTACTGTCAGAAAAAAGGATTTACAAACATCAAAAGAAAAAGTATATTGACATCCAAAAGAAAATTTTTGATTTATGGGATGATTTCAAGTTGAACAAATTGACATCAATTGATCTATTAATGCAGACATCCCATATCTACTCTCCAGCATAAATATCATTTGTCAAGCTTTATTGTTTTTTAGTATAATATTTAGTCTTTTAAATACATACTTTTAGATTTATAGCTAAATCTTTTATTCAAAAATTCAAAAATAAAATAAATATAAAAATAGGGCGCGAACGTACCTGGGTACGTTCGCACCCGCCCAGGGTACGTTCGCACCCGGGTACGTTCACACCCAGGTACGTTCGCACCCCAACTCGTCTACTTACTATCACATATTCAAACAAAAAGAAAAGGGTTGTATGGTATTCTGTCATGAAAAACCTCTTTCAACAGGAAAAACTAACTTTTATCAAATGGCTACCTAATAGTAAGTTTTCAGAAAAAAGATCTGTACACTTAATTGGACATTATTGTGATGTTATTACTGTTATAAAGATTATTATTAACTCTGACAGCCAGATGTTTAGTACTCTACAATTATTAAATCTTACTCATATTAAAATATCCAATGAAATAGATTTCAGTCAATTCATCAACTCAATTAAGCTTCTACCTTGCTTAACTGACATAAATTTTGAAAAACTTCAGAATACTAAAGAATATTTACAAACAACTCTCAATCATTTGAACTGCAAATCTATTACTTTAAGTCACCTAAATTTTGATTCATGTAATTTAACACCCATTGAAGCAAAAATATTGAGTCAATTCTTAAAACCAATTAAACATTTGAAAACACTGAATTTATCAAACAACAAGTTGATGAAAGACAAGTTTCAAACAATTTGCCTTGGACTAAAATCTTCTTTTAAATCATTTGAGGGAATCAATATCCAAAACTGTAATCTCAATCACACACATATGGATTCTTTTGAAAAATTAGTGTTACCCTCTTCTAATTTAGTGTACATCAATTTATCAGGAAATCCAAACATACAGAAGTCAGTATCAACAATCTTTGAAGAATTACACCATTCTTCTAAAACATTAAAAAAGATTGAAGTCAATAACTGTAGCTTAACTATTGAAGAAGGGCATTCACTGGGGAAATTACTTAAAAAGTGCCTGTATATAACACATATTGGATTGGCATGGAATAAAAATTTGGGTGAATCATTTGGTAAAATACTTGAAGGATTAGAATCATCTTCAGATGTTTTGAAAAATATTAATTTAGGCAGCTGCAGTTTAAATGAAAAAAAAGGAAAATCTTTGGGAAAAATGTTTAAAAAATGCTCATCTTTAACAGAGATTAAGTTGGGAGCAAATAAAAATATTGATGAATCATTTCAAGAAGTTTTTAAAGGCTTAGACTCATCTTCAAAGACATTAGAAAAGATTGATTTTAATTACTGTTCTTTGAATAAAGAATATGGGAAATCTCTTGCAGAGTTATTAAAAAACTGTTCACATATCAAGTGCATTGACTTAAAAGGTAATAAAAACCTGGGAAAATCATTCAATTTTGTGTCTGAAGGATTAGCTTCATCATCAGAAACTTTGCAAAAGATTCTTCTTGAAATGTGTAACTTAAATGTTGAGCAAGGACTATTTCTAGCAAAGTTATTTACAAAGTGCTTTCTTATAAAAGGTGTTAATATTGCCAAAAATAATAATATACGTAAATCATTTACAGAAATATTTGAAGGATTGGAATCATCTTCAAAAACATTGGAATATGTTAATGTTGGGTGGTGTAAATTAAATGAAGAACAAGGGAAATCTTTGGGAAAACTACTTAAAAAGTGTTCTAATTTGAAAAACATAGATTTGTCTGGTAATAAAATTATGGGTAAATCAATGAATGAAATATTTCAAGGATTGGAATCATCTTCAAAAACATTGGAATATGTTAATGTTGGGTGGTGTAAATTAAATGAAGAACAAGGGAAATCTTTGGGAAAACTACTTAAAGTATGTTCTAATTTGAAAAACATAGATTTGTCATATATTACTGTTTTGGGTAAATCAATGAATGAAATATTTCAAGGATTGGAATCATCTTCAAAAACATTGGAATATGTTAATGTTGAGTGCTGTAAATTAAATGAAGAACAAGGGAAATCTTTGGAAAAACTACTTAAAACATGTTCTAATTTGAAAAAGATAGATTTGTCTGGTAATAAAGTTATGGGTAAATCAGTGAATGAAATATTTGAAGGATTGGAATCATCTTCAAATACTTTGGAAAATATTAATGTTGGGTGGTGTGAACTAAATGAAGAACAAGGGAAATCTTTGGGGAAACTACTTAAAAAGTGTTCTAATTTGAAAAACATAGATTTGTCATATAATAATGCTATGAGTAAATCAATGAATGAAATATTTGAAGGATTGGAATCATCTTCAAATACATTGGAATATGTTAATGTTCAGTTTTGTGAATTAAATGAAGAACAAGGGAAATCTTTGGGAAAACTACTTAAAGTATGTTCTACTTTGAAAAACATAGATTTGTCTGGTAATAAAGTTATGGGTAAATCAATGAATGAAATATTTGAAGGATTGGAATCATCTTCAAATACTTTGGAAAATGTTAATGTTGGGTGGTGTGAATTAAATGAAGAACAAGGGAAATCTTTGGGAAAACTACTTAAAAAGTGTTCTAATTTGAAAAACATAGATTTGTCTGGTAATAAAGTTATGGGTAAATCAATGAATGAAATATTTGAAGGATTGGAATCATCTTCAAATACTTTGGAATATGTTAATGTTCTGTTTTGTAAATTAAATGAAGAACAAGGGAAGTCTTTGGGAAAACTACATAAAACATGTTCTAATTTGAAAAAGATAGATTTGTCTGGTATTAATGTTATGGGTAAATCAATGAATGAAATATTTGAAGGATTGGAATCATCTTCAAATACTTTGGAAAATGTTAATGTTCGGTTGTGTGAATTAAATGAAGGACAAGGGAAATCTTTGGGGAAACTACTTAAAAAGTGTTCTAATTTGAAAAAGATAGATTTGTCTGGTATTAATGTTATGGGTAAATCAATGAATGAAATATTTGAAGGATTGGAATCATCTTCAAATACATTGGAACATGTTAATGTTCGGTGTTGTGAATTAAATGAAGAACAAGGGAAGTCTTTGGGAAAACTACATAAAACATGTTCTAATTTGAAAAACATAGATTTGTCTGGTAATAAAGTTATGGGTAAATCAATGAATGAAATATTTGAAGGATTGGAATCATCTTCAAATACTTTGGAAAATGTTAATGTTGGGTGGTGTGAATTAAATGAAGAACAACTGAAATCTTTGGGAAAACTACTTAAAAAGTGTTCTAATTTGAAAAAGATAGATTTGTCTGGTATTAATGTTATGGGTAAATCAATGAATGAAATATTTGAAGGATTGGAATCATCTTCAAAAACATTGGAATATGTTTATGTTGACTGGCGTAAATTAAATGAAGAACAAGGGAAATCTTTGGGGAAACTACTTAAAGTATGTTCTAATTTGAAAAACATAGATTTGTCATATATTACTGTTTTGGGTAAATCAATGAATGAAATATTTTAAGGATTGGAATTTTCTTGAAATAATTTGGAAAAAGTAGATTTTGACTGGTATAACTTAAATAAAGAACAAGGAAAATATTTGGGAAACTTCTTAAAACATGGTGGAAAGAAATGGCCATGAAAGAAAATGTCTATTAATATAAATTTCATTTTAATATAAATATATGTTGAAAAAGTTAACCTGGGGTAAAAGAAATTGTTAAATATATACTTAAAAAATGAAATATTCACAAAAAAAATCACTTAACTTTTTCTATTAGCTTAATATTTTAGGAATTATATTTCTAAAAGGTACAAGCAAGGTATATCAAAGAGGCTAATACAGTAACTCCGTATGGCTTAAATGAGGATCATGGTTGCTACAGTACAACTATAGTACCACTAGTGGTCTACCATCCAAGTCCTTGGTATAAACTAAATAGAATACTTAAGGACCACTGGAGTGCTCTTAATGATGACAGTCCACTGAAGGTGATTAGGCCTATTATTGCCTTGAAACCGGGGAGATCATTGGGTAGCCTTATAATAAAGGGAAGAACTGAAGGTCCACCTCAAGAGGATAATACCAACACTCTGAATCTAGTAGAATGTTGGCCATCCCCATGGTGGCATATTAAACAGTCTTCAATAAACCACATAACAAATTCTCTATTGTGAATAACATAGAGAGCCTGGACAACAGCAATGACACAATTCTCACCATGGCCAATAGCTGGGTTGGGAATGATCAGGAGAGTAGTTTTGCAGGTATTAATCTCCTATTGGAGATACAGAGAGAAATTGACAGTGAATGAAAATTAATAGGGCTAGTTATTAGTTGAGTAGGGATTGAACACCTCTTTCATGGAGAACAGGTTGTGGTAGTTGGCAGTGAACAAACAGTTCCCCAACAAAAACACCACATCTGGTTCTTATATCCTAACCCTAAGCTATAGCCCCCTAAAAAGATACAAATTAGTGAAAGTTTACAACTAACCCTAACCTAAGATAATGGAACCAACACTTAACTTTGCAGAGAGGAAGGTACAGACTGGATAGACATCAGACCTGTTCTGAACAATTGTTAAATAAAAAATGGGGTAATTTATGGGGAGACACCTCTCTATGAGAGAACAGATGGTTGACAGTTTAACATGGGTCTACTGACCTTATGCTACATAGTACCCTAAGGATATATATATATCAATGAGTTAGTTTTGATCCAAAAAAATCAGTGCTGTGGCAAAAATGTCCCAAATCTGGGCCATTTAGGAGTTTCATTATGCATCATCCTAGATGTTTCAATTTTGTTGGAGGTGATAGAGCTCGAAAAGAGCTTTTCACTGATATCCTACACAACCATGTAGCTCTTACAGTTCAGGAGTGGCTGAGCTTGGGAAATCGAAAATTTTCCAAGTTTGGGTAGAAAAATAAAAGATATTTTTTTTTATCTTTCTGACATAGGGGCAAGCTTGGATTCAAGTTTGAAAGCAATCTGACGATTTTGAAAAATTGGCCTTCACTGAGGCTCTGGACTTCTGAAAATCATTAATTTTGTAAGTTCATTGTCAGGTTAATTACCTGTTAAAACAGGGTGTTGTTGAAAATGCCCACTGTTCTTGTTGAAAACCCTAACTGTGCTTTTTGAAAATGCCCACTATGCCTAACTATTACACCAAAATTACAAAAGTTGTTTAATTACATTTGAAGTGAAAACATTTTAATAATAGACAGTGAAAAAAATTATTTTTTACATGTGTATTAAAGAATTGTAATAGAATTATTTAGAGTAGAAGCATTGACAGCAGACAGCTTTAAACATGATAAATTGCTGAATTTTTTTTCAAAATTTTCTTCTTCATGCTTGCATAGATTTTTTTTGTATCCTACAAATCTTTTTTTCTGACAGTAGCTTTTGATAAATGTCATGTACTGATCTTGCTGGCAAAATCTATGCCTTTGCATAGTTCTACTCAAACCATTTAAATGAATGTTTAAATTAAAACAGTTTATTCGCAAATAATAATACTTAAGCAAGTAACAAGCTGGGAGTTCAATAGCAGAGTAGATAGTTCATAATATCAGGTCGCCAAATTACCAAACTGTCTTCCTATGTTGAGGAGTGGATGGATGGTTCCAGTGGAGGTTGTTTTCAGGTTATCTTCCCAAGTCCTTGGGTCCAGATGGAAGCTGCATGCAGAATGAGAATAATGAGTCTACACTTATGAACTATAGTTTATAGATATTTTATAAATGATACTTACTATATGGTAAAAGTGTTGAAGTAGATGTTGCCTCTAGGGTAGATGGTACCGAACTGCCACAATCAACCCCTTTTATAGGCAAAGGATAAGATGTTACATAACAAACATGTTGACAACAACAACAAAGGTTTATTTACATAAATATAATGTAAGAATTGACCCTTGATGGGTAACCTACACAAAGTTGTTGTTTACATCACTATTGCATAATATGACAACCCTTGACCCTATTTGTTGTGAATAATCCTTATCTGGGGTTAGACCCTTGTTGTTGACAGCCAAGGCATAAACAACTGATAAGGAATTGTATAAAAGCAGGGTGTAGGCAGTAACAGGCATTTAGTCCTGAATCAACTCCCTTAGTGAACAGGTCTAGTATTAATTTAGAATACAGTTTTATTATTGTACTTTGTTGTATTGTAATTGCAGGAATTTCTGCTTCTTCAGAACAGTATTTGTCCTTTCCAATCATTTATCAATTTACTAAAGTACTGGTCCAATTAGAACCTTTCAAGTTCATCTACAAATAGTCATAACAAATGTAATTTTGGTGGAAATAATTCAACAAAATACTAGTATTTTGTCCAAAGAATATGTATTGAGTAAATGAGTTTCTAGTTCTAAACAAGTAAGTTTAAACAACCAGTTAACAGTTAAAGAACTGAACTGACAAGCTGGGGAAATGCATTTCCTTTTATACATTTCCAAAGCTGGGTTCAAGTGGTCAAAGGATTACAAAGTTGAAATCTGACTGTCTCATAATTCCCAAGTAGCCACCATCTGTTACAGTCAAGAGTCTATTTCTTACAAAATAGAGTTCTTTCTACAGTACTAAAAGCTAACACTACGAAATAAAAGTCTTTCTAAAGTTCCACCACTATAATCGCTACAAAATATAAGTAATTCTATAATTGCACCAGTCTAATTCTTATAAAATAGAAGTCTTTCTAATGTAACCTTATATCTAAAGTCTAAGTATTGATATATCATTATATCTAAGTGCACAGATATCCCACCCTTTTAAGACCTTGCTTCCACGAAAGGTCTGGGACCTGTCACAATGACTCTATTACCTTCTTTTGAATATGTTGGATAGTTTTGAAGAGGTATTGCTTCTTTGTCAATTTCCATAGTTGAGTATGTTGGAATCTGTAATTCTTCTTGTTGTATACTTGGAGCTGTTGGTTTGGCTTTCCTTCTTTCTTTGGAAAAGACAATTGCAAGTCTTCTAATTGATGCTAATGAGAAACCTAATACTACTTTGCTGAGACCCTATTCTGGTAGGAAAGATACTTGGGCCTTTAAGAGGAACTTTCAAACAGCTTGTGAATTAAACCTTTGGGATACAGAAGAGAAAAGAGTTTGAATGCTGAGAAAATACACTACTGGAAGAGCCAGAGATGTTATTGAAAGTTTACCCTCCATGGCAAATGAAAATGAAATTTGGGATGCATTGGATGAAGAATTTAATCCAGATCCTATGGCTTACAAAAAAGAAATTGATAGATTGAGACAGTTCAATGATGAAACTGTCCAAAGTTTTGTTAGAAGAAGTAAAGAACTTGTGGAAAAATTCCTACCATTCAATACTAATGAAATGGCTTGTGTTACTGAAAGAGTTAGAGAACTTCAACTGTTAACTGTATTCAGGAATGGTCTTAAAGGAAAAATTGTTAATCATGTGGAAAAAGATGGAAAGATTAACTCAGTTAATCAGTATATTAAATTGGCAAAAAGAGCAGAAATATTTTTTGATAATGCAAGAAAAGAAAGTGAAAATGAATTCAAACAGTACAAAAGGAGATTTGACAACAATCAGAGTAACTCAAATCAAAATGAACATACATTTAAACCTTTTTCTCAAAATAGATTTCAACAACAAAGAAATGGAAATGCAGGAAATAATGAAAAAGGCAGCTTTAACAGACTAATACATGTTGGACCTGATGAACCTAATGAAACTGAAATTTCTAAAGGAAGAATGGCAATATTTAATCTCAAAGAAGAGAAAATCGCACATTTTAAGTGTACTTCTTTGGTAAAAGGCAGAAAAGATTTCCAATTTCGAATGAAAAATCATAATGGAAGAGAGGTTATTGCTTTATGTGATTCAGGAGCACTTTTGTCATTTATTACAGAAAAAGAAATCAGGTTAATGGATTCTAAATTCATCAAGAAAGAAACTACTGGCTTACCAATCATCACTTCAGCAGAGGGAAATGCTTTAGAGACAAAAGGAAAAGCAAAACTGAATATTCAATTTAATGGAAGAATTATGGAACAAGAATTCTTTATTATGGAAAAACTAGATATGGCTATAATACTAGGTTGTGATTTCTTAGAAAATGCTGGAGCTCTTATTGATTTTGCAACAAAACAAGTTTCTCTTCCATTCTTTATCAGAAAAGGACAACCAGTTAGAAAGTTTTTGCAATATAACGAAAATCGCCAAACAAAATTTGGAAAACAAGGCAGTGTAAAAAAAGTAACTGTTGGAATGATGGGACAGTATTTTGAAGATTCTGACACTCCATCTGAAGTTTTTGATACTCCATCTGAAGTTTCAGATTGTGTGGACTCAGAAATGGAAGTTACTGATCCAGATACTGGCTATGATACAAGCAACACTCATGGTTCAAGCATAGTTTATGAGGGATTCAATGGTTTTGATTCAAATAGCAATTATGGCACAGATGAAAGTTCCAGTACTTCTGAAAATTATGATACAGAAACAAGTATTGAATCAGATCACAGCCCAGACTCAGATTTGGATATAATCAATGGTACAAGATCATCTGAAGATGAAATTAGTGATTCAACTGATTCTGATAATGGTTCAATGATTGTTAAAGACTCATCTGAAGAAGAGCTTGATAACATAACTGAGCCTGATAATGATTCAATGATTGTTATAGACTCATCTGAAGAAGAGACCAGTAACACAATTGAGTCTGACAATGATTCCATAATGGTTATAGACTCATCTGATGAAGAGACTGGAAACACACCGGAGTCTGACAATGGCTCAGTTATTTTCATAAATTCATCTGAAGAAGAAATTGAAATTACATCTGAAGACTTAGCTACAGAAATGGAAATGAAACCACAATACATAGAAATAGAAGATGGAATAAGTATCAAAGTGGAAAAAGAACAAAAGAAACCTCCAGTAACTCCTGAAATAGAAGAATTACAGTTGGAAAGTATTGAATTTGAACATTTGTCTAATCAAAATGTACACAATATTAATTCAAATACACTAGAAATTGACAATTATTTACATGTGTCCAAAAATAATCTTGACAAGAACAGAGAAGAATTAAAAGAAATGATAAAGAATTATGAAGATATTATTGCTACAAATCAGAATGACATTGGTTCACCAGATGTTCCACCAATGGCAATTGAATTATT